GCCGTCTTGAAATCGAGCTCCCGGGCCCACGCAACCCCGTGCACGGCCTTCGCCCCTGGCCCCCAGCATCTGTACGATCCGAAGAACGCCGTCCTGCAACAATAAACAACAAAACATTGTCATGGATCTCACATTTTTGACAAATAGATGTCCTGGATGCAATAGGGTCGAAAAATTTCACGCAGAGGGGTCTATCTGTAACAATAGAACTACAAAGGCAAGGGCCTATCTGCAATGAGCCATAATAGTACAGGGAATCTATCCGTAACTAACCCCTCTCATTATGTTGATTCTGTATAATTTTAAAAAGAAAAATGATGAGATGTAGGTCTCTTACTGGTTCTTGTTGCTATTGTGATCCCAGTCATCCCACCCTCCCTCGGCAACGACATCGGCAAAATACGTGTACGCAAACACAATCCTCGAATACTGGCCCATAGCCCGGCCCACATAAAGCTTCCCGGTTCCGGTCACCCTGCAATTCACAAAGGCGAACCCCGACCGATCGCACGGCGAGTTCCGGTCGTGGGCCGCAACGGACCCGAACCGCTCGGCGATCGAGTGCAGCTCGCAGCCCTTGTACATCGATCGCCCGTTGCCGAAGATGAAGTCGATCGACCCCTCGATGTAGCACTCCTTGAAGTAGTGCCTGCCCGCATCGTCGCACAGCGTGTCCTGCGCGCCGTAGAATCCGCAGCCGACGGCGGCCTGCCAGCCTTCCATTCCCGGTAACGGTGCTGGTGCGGTATTCTGATCGTACGAAAACAAAATTTTATTTTAGTCGAGGGTACGAAAATTCAAAACTAATTAATTTATGTCGGTGCCAGAAAGATTTGCGATAAAGGCTTTGTTGTTGTCGTCGTCGTTGACGAGGCTGACATTGACATCTTGACGCCTGACTAGCGTCGAGAGCATCAGATATAACGTGTGCTACTTACCTTGAAGCTGATGTTTTTAGCAGTAAAATAACTAGCAAAAACAGTTACAGATGCCGTGTTGTAGGTCCGTAGCTGCTGGCCGTTG